TAGGCTGGACATGCACATGGTGGGCATGTCGTGAGCGGAGCCGGCTGGTGCCCGAGGTCAGACTAGATGGCCCGGGAGGCCCCTTCTGACTCGCTCTGTTTCTATGTTTCATATTTATTCTGACACCACTAGCTGGTCCAAGGGGCTAAGATGGTGCTACATACTTTCAGGCATCTCTCCTGAGAGAGAGGGGTGCGGGTCTACAATTTTGCCTGTGTCTTCTCTGTGACAAGCGGTCAGCTAGGCACAAGGATCACATGGATTCTACTTCCTCCCTGGCCACAGAAAGGCTGTGCACTTGCTAACTGGTGACATATGAAAGTCCACTGGGGGATTCTAGCAGCAGTATTCAAAATCCATAAAATGAGTGAGAAAGGCCATTTGACTTTGGCAATGCAGTGGGGGAAAACAGCCCCTTTTGCTGCCACACTGCCCACTGTTGATGGCGCCCTCAGCAGCTGCAGAGCAATCCAAGGCAATCTGAGCACGGCCCAAGGAGGACCAGCTAAACGGCAGGGTTACCTACATCGTCCTTCATGTGGACCTTGGGAGGGTTAAATTCTTCGTGGTATGAACGGCCACTGCCTGGGTGGATCAGCCTGGAAGAGACCACAGGAGTCAGCAAAGGGCATCTCAGACTTGGTCAAGGGGAAGGCCTATGGAGAAGCATCTATTCAGAATCACGATCACCAAAGAGCCTGGCATTAGGCACAAGCAAAGGAGGCATCCCTCGGGGACCTTGTGAACCACTGCAAGAGGACAGAAGCTGCCCGTGGCAGGCATGCCACACGTTTGCAGAGGAGACTGCTACACTGATCAAGGAGATCGAAGGGGTGGCAGTGGCAGCAAATGGTCCGAAGGCACCAGGTGCCGCATCAGCGGATCAAGGTGGGCGTGGACGACTTCTCTTGGATACAAGGCTCCTGGGGGCCCACAGTGAAAGGAATGCACTGCTCACAATCTTTCTGTGCCCTCTTTTGGCCTTTCTGTAACTGAAGGCTGCATTCCCAAAGCTCAGAGGGGCCTCTCATCCAGCCACATCAACACCTGCTCATCTTCAGCTTAAAGCTATGAAAGAAGTTTGAAACAGAAGGCCCTCCCCAACCAGCCCTCTCCACATCAGGCCCTCCAGATGTGCTGACTACAACTCCCACCAGCCCCTCATGCTTACTAGGGATGAGAGCAGATGGAGTCCAGTGCATTTGGAGGGCACCAGATGGCAGAGGAGAATCATATAACCATATGATCAAAACAATTTTAAAGGGCATGACGCATGCATGTGGCATTTGTCCAGTACTATTTTCTAGTTCTCCTTTACAAGGAATTCTTACATGCAGTGCATCACATTTCTGGGATAGCTCGAAACACTGCAGAAGATCTCTCAGAGGATCTCCAGAGGAAGTGGCTATTACCTTCCAGTAATTCTCCGGATGAGTAAGGAATCAGAGACGTTGAATTCAATGACAGAATCTAGTTTCTCTTTTCTTTTCTCCATCAGCTCCTCCAGCTGCAGCAATTTAGGAGGATGAAAAGCAAAAGAGGAAGAGGCTACTTTTAAAACGCATGGAGGAGCAAATTCCAATCTAACTAAAGCAAATCCCTTTGGAGTGGGAGTTACAAGGAAAGCCACTGGCCCTGGAGCTCAGCAATGGAGTGAGGCGCAAGCTCAACCCGGCCCTCTTCCCATTTTAATCTTGGAATTCAGGGGACTGTCTCCTTCCATACATGCCCATAAGGGCAATCACAGAGGCCTGCCTTAATGTGGCCTCTCATTCCAACGCTTTTAGAGAAAGCCTCCTCACTGGCAGCCCCTCGGTACAGAAGCCCCTCCCCGGAGAAATCCACCCAGGGCTCAACTTGCTGCATCATTCTGACTCTGTGCATTGCAACTATTATTTAACTTATATTTTGTGAAGAAGAAAAAACAATAATGTGCATAATATAATAAGTTAACAAAATAAACAAAGCATAAGGTAAAGGTTTCTCCATGCCATGCCTGACTCTTGGGGGCGGTGCTCACCTCCGTTTCCTGGCCGAGGGAGCCAGTGTTTGTCCCCAGACAGTCTCCGTGGTCATGTGGCCGGCAGGACTAAACACCGAAGTGTATGGAATGCTGTTACCTGCCCACCGAAGTGGCACCTTTTTATCTACTCGCATTTGCATGCTTTCGAACTGCAAGGTTGGCAGGAGCTGGGACAGAGTATGGGAGCTCACCCCGTCTGCGGATTCAAACTGTCGACCTTTCGATCTACCAGCCCAGCGGCTCAGCGGTTTAACCCACTGTGCCACCACATCCCTTAAACAAAGCATACCAAAATACATAATACTCAACAATATGCAAAAATATATAGCTAAGAGTTAGGGATTAGAGTGAGAAGTTTATCTATTATCCCCAATTCCAATAAGGACTGCATACCATCTCTGCTTGCCGCACCGTACGAGGGAACCCATCCAAAAGAAAGCCGTTTTTGCAGGGAGGTGTCTCCAGGTTTTTCTCAATCAGCTCCACCACCATTTCATCGCTCACCTTACCGTGCAAGGAGGAATAAACAAGAAAAGCTAGTCTTGATACAACAAGTGATAATTATAGTGACAAACGTCTGGACCACCACAAGGAAAACAAGGTTCCTTCCATCACCAAATTCAAAATTCTGTTTTGTTGGTTTTCAGGAAGTCCTTACAGATATGAAACAAGTTTGACCATAGGAAGGCAAATACAGCAGAGAAGCAGAAAGCAAGATTACAGGAAGACAAGACCCATTTAAGGCATTTTCCTGTGCTCCGAATGCACCAATGCCTCTGAGATTACTTACAACCTAGTGCAATTTGTCACATTCGATTTCAGAAGATGTCTTGATCTCAGGCACACGGCTTGGTTCAGCTGTGCACTCCAGCTTGAGCTGCATGTTCTGGAAGGGCTCTCTGCACCAAGTACACCATGGTCTAAATAATTGTGCAGGCTCGGTATGGGGGCTGTCAGATCAGCGGTCTGGCCACACTGCCAGAGCCTCGTCACGATGGCCAGAGCCCTTCCGCCTTGGACTTTCACAGAAGCTTCAGATTTTGAGCTTCAGTTCATTCAAAAATCACATTAACTTATATACCCAGGTAACTGGCTGCTGTTGCACTCCACCACCTCTATCTCCCCTCCACCAAGACCTGGGTGCAGAGCAGAGGCAGGGCAGATTATGGCTTCCTTGCATTATCTAGCATGTACAGGCATGTCCGCTGCATTCTACCACATCCTAGTTCACATATATCCCTATGAAGGTTTGAAGCGAAGGCTGCAGATAAGCATTACCTATGATGATCCTGCTCTACGGCCACAAGTCCCTTCCTTGGGAGCTGCCAGGTGAAAGTAACAAAATGCAGAGAACAGAATGGAGCCTTTAAGACAACGAGTCTGGTTCCAAGCGAGACATGATAGGCAAACAAGATCTTTTGTGAAGCCAACTCTTTCTGGTTTACAATTAGAGAATGCACACTTTGGATTTCGAACAAACTTGGGAGGGCGCAGGGGAAGAGAGCTGAACTATCATGAATGGAAAAGCTTCTAGCTTCTTCAAATGATGGCATTTCACAAAGCCTTGAGATAAGAAATACCTCAAACATTGACCAGGAAGAGCTAGTGGAAAGGGAGCAAAGATCTCTTGCAGCTTTTTCTCTATATATTCAGCAAATCTAAACAGGGCTGCCTTTAATTGCAGTAATCAGAAAACCTAGAGAGATATTCTATATCTACAGGTAAGAAAGCAAAGAAAATTGCCCTTCCCCAAAAACTGAGAGGCAATATAGCTAGGAAATGAAGTTGTACCCCATGGAAAGCTTCCATAAATCAAAGCAGAATGGGCCCTGGGAGGTTCTGTGCTTATTCAAAACCTCTGTGGGCATGTTAAGACATTCCCCTAGTTCCCAACTTTCAGGCAAAGAAACAAAGGCCTGAGACCATCCCCGTGGTTTAAGTCAAAAGGTAGCAGCTGGCTCACTCAGTTTACAGAGCATTCCATGTTACTGAGAGATGAGACCAAAGAGAGTGGCACAGTGCAGTTGCTGCTCTCCACCTACCAGCTTTCCAGCATCCATCGTCTCCTTCAGTCTCTTCCCCA